TCATTTTCCATTTTTTTTTAGTTTTTTTTTAGAAATATCAATAAAATTTTATTTGTTGGTTAAAAAAACTTTAAAATTCAATAAAAGGCTCCTAGTATATTGTTTCAAAGGCAAATAAAAAATATTAAAAATCCTTAGTCACAATTTTTTTTATAAGCATTTAAAGTTCAAAAATTGACAAAATATGGAAAAATCACGAAAATTAGCAAATTATTTTGAGTTAAGAATTCGTAAAAATTTTTCTTTTTAAAACTAAGATTTGAAAATGTAATACAAGGTTACTCATAAGTTTTTCTACCTTTATCAATAAAAAAATCTCTACTGGACAGTCAAATTAAATTTTTATGAGCGTTTGAAATTCAAATTTTTACAACATTTGGATGTTCACTCGATTTCTCATGTAGCGATTTCCTTATTTTGTTGTTATTCATAAACGAATAACTATAGATACATGAAAATTTCACTGAATGTTTATATTAGCATTTCCTATACACCATACGATTTCGAAAATATTTTTACTCTTTTGAGCTGTTTACGGACATTTACAGCTTTCAATTTTTAGTTTTTTTTTTCTATGAATATCAATAAAGTTTTATCTGTTGTGCCAAAAATTGTAAAAATGTAATACAAGGCTCCTGATATATTGTTACAATATCAGTTGAAAAATATTAAAAATACATAGGCACAATTTATTTTTATAAGCATTTAAACATCGAAATTTGACAGAATTTTTCAAAATCTCGAAAATTATTAACCATCGTAATTAATAAATTATAAAATGTTCAGTTTTTATAGCTAAGGATTGAAAATTTAAAAAAAAGATTCTCATAAATAGTTCATACTGTAGCCAAAAAATCTAAAAAATATATGAGCACAGTTATTTTTTACAGACATTTTAAGTTCAAATTTGTGACGAAATTACATATTAAAAAACCTAGCATACCTATTTTAGTTATTTTGTTGTGAGTGTATAATACTATTCGTGGGTACTTGAAACTTCTAAAGTACACTATATTATATATCAATGATAGTATCAGGGTTTGTTATTGATGTATAACGTGTTATAAGTACCTAGTGGATATTGTGATATGATTAATTTGGAATTTATTATAGGTCAATTTTTTTTTTAATACCATAGATATGTATATAATATGTCTTAAACCTAGACATACCTTCTTCGCTCAGAATCGTTCTTCTTATACAATGATATTTTATCATTGAATTCAAATTTAATACCATCCATGATCCATTATACAGTGACCCACTTGTAACCTACTGTACAGCAGAGCGACATCCACTTACCCACCTTTTTTAATTTAAAAGTATTATTTAACTTCTCTAATTATTTTAAATAGTATTTTGTGAAATAAAAAAAAACATAGTCACATACGAGTGGGTACGGTGTACGATGTAGACATGTAGGAATAGCCGTATAGGTAGGTACTATAATATAATAATATATACTTATATAAGTACTATTGGTACTCTAGCTATAGTCAGAAACTCAATGTTTTTAAACGGTACCGTAACTTACTTGCAAATTATGCCGTTCAAGACCATTGTGTCAACATCACAACAGAGATTAATAAATTGCACAATATTTAACGCTTAAATAGATCTAATTTTTTTTGTTCACGCGAAAAATGAATAATGACAAAATATTAAATTTGATTATCTTAATAGTTAACCATTACGGGGTGCTATAAATAAATTGTTTTCATCTGGATATCAATAATCATATCGAAGAAAACATAAAATATAATTCATCAATAAAAAAAGGCTATCGGTTAACGGTTATATGCAATATATGAATATTCAATATATAATATACATTAATGTATTTTAATTTTTAAATGCATAATATACAAATACGATATACCTACGATAAACTTACAATATTATTATACGATAAAAATTGATAATTATATTATATTTATATTGAAATTTGACATCATGAATTTATCAACTACGAATTAAGATAGAGTACCCTATCGTAATATTCTTATATTAAGGGGATTCGATACCGTGATTTTCTGTTTTTGTCTAACACACGCTTGACATATGATTATGATTTTAGACTTGTTCTTTGCTAAATATACCAATTGATTTAATGAAGATAAAAATTCTAATAACAGATTTGAATTTTTCGTCAAGTTTACTTGAAATCGACTTTCCCACATTTTTGATTTTAACTTCTCCAAAAGTTTAAATATGTGGAATTTTTTAATTACTCTTTTTTTAATAAAACTTTTTTAAGAATTTGGGGGATAATATCAAAAATGGGGGAAAGTCAATTTCAAATAAACCATTAATGACAAATTCAAATCTGTTTTCAGAATTTTTTTGTTGGCAAAGAACACGAATAAAATCCTATGTCGTGCACTCGTGCGTGAGTTAGACAATAACTGAAAATTACCGGGTGGAATCCCTTTAATCGTAACAATAATGTCGATTAACGAACTGCTAGGTATTATATTTGGGTTAGGCATACGGATACGGTCAATAATGTGTGTGAGTACCTATATGTGATAGAATATATAGAAATAATAAAATATATCAGTATATCATAACATACATGTTACATCACTTACGTGCATTAGCAGTAGTGATTTTTATCGACTGTTATATTATATACAAATATATTACCTAGCTATTCAAATATATATTATATATCTCGTATTACAAAAAAACGCCTACCTATTATACTTAAATATTCGATGTAAACGAAAACATTCTTATAATACTTAATACAGGGCGATTCCCAAGCTTGCTCATTACTGTTTTTTATTTTAATATACCTTTACCTAACCTTACTTAAGAACAATACTTTATAAATTATTCAGATTTCCATACTTACCGTTTAAGGAGTGTTTTGTTTGGAGGCGATATAAACTTAATTTTTTTAATGAAAACCAACTTTTTTTTCTGTAAATTGTTAAGCCGATGATTTTTTTGAAAATGTTGATACATTTAAATCAAAATTCAAACGAGTAGTTTCTGAGTTGTTAAAATGTAGGCATATCAAAGCTTTATGCTATGTATACTAACTATTACTAAGAATAATAGTCCAACAATTAGTTGTATACAAATATAATATAGGAAGATGTAATATTTGAGGTTTTATTTATTGTACAATAATTATTACAGGACAATATTTACGAATTATAACATTTAGAATGTTGAAATGTTTGAAAATATCTCAATTATACTTAAAAATTCCTATAGACAGAATTCGATTAAATTAATGTTTAATGGAAAAAGGGGTAGGGGAAGGGGTTGAGTATACTTGGTGAATAACCCTGTATATTATGCTATATACTTACTCATGGCCTACATCAGTATACATTTGGATAATGGTGTATGTTATCATCACATCGCGTGCAGCGGTAGTTCTATATCGCGACTTTAGTTGTGTGCTGTACTGCTGTCCTGTCATTTATGCGCAGGTCAAAAATCGTATAACAAAACATATCTATAAAAGTATAAAACACTGTATGCCGTGTACTAGAAAATATTATTATTATTTTAGCGTATTATATACCTCTACACATAAACCGCAGATATACAAGATAAAAATAATATGCGAGTACATAATAATATAGGTATAGATAAAGTACGAACGTGTGCGTGCGCCGATGTAGGTACATAATATTATCACATCGTGCACTCGACGTGCATTATAGTATATAATTAAATGGAAGGGCGAATCAGTCGATGTCCCAAAACATTAATATTCGTGTGTCTCTATTTTATTCGTGTATACCTTATATTCTCGTCAAAATATACACAACATGAAATCGTCAAAAATTAGCTGTAAATATATAATATAAATATCATATTAATATATTATACAATAATGTTTTTTGCTTATAGTATAATGCCACTAGGTACTATATCAGCTATACAAAAAAATTATGTAATTTTAAATACCTTTGTAAATATATATACGCAAATACGATGTTAAGTAATTGTTGCGGTTATCTATCGATTGTAAACGAAAAGTACACACTTATACATAGATAAGTTCAAAAGGGATGACAAGCAAAAACTTTGGGACTTGTATGAATGTATCATGTATGATAAATGAAAGTTCGAAGTTCCATACTTAGTTATACTTGTATACGTCATAGGACATAATATGCATTTTCGGTATATTATATATATAATATATCGTATGTGATGGAGTTATGCTGTGATCTATATTACCGTTACACGCGGTTCCGAGGGTCATACTATAACATGCATGTCATTTTTATTAAAAAAAGTCAAAAAACTAAACCGTTTGAATTCGTAGAGGTATAACGCGACCTCTCGACGGATTCGTATTGAAACAATAATTGGTTTGTATACAACTGCAGCGTTCCTAATACCTATATTATATTATAATATATTATAATGATATTATATTGCATGCATAAACGATGAAAACTCAATAACATATAACAATATTATTACATTTAATAGGTAGGTATATTATAACCATATGGGTGCCTACTACGTATAATATAAATACGTACACGCACCTGGAGATGGATTATTATATACCTAGGTACACATTGTTCTGAGCGTTCCACTCGGTTCAACACCTGCCGCGCGTATGGTGGTACCTAGCTAGCGATCGCCCGACGAATATTAACAATATTAATATACCTAGCTAGTAGCTAGTCGCAGACCGCAGTCGCGCGGCAGACCGTCCGTATGGCGTACGCGTGTCCGCAGTCACTAAAATACTGCCGTCGTCGTTATAGTTTAATATCGTTTGAAAAAAAATTATCAATAATTCAGTCGTAGATATGATTTACGGTTAACCATAACACGTCGTGTTCGATACGAAATTCATCGTTATTATGACTTGACGCGGACGTATAGTGTCGATTCGTGTGTTTTGTGTATAGTAAGTTTTGACGTGCGCGTGCCGTTGCAGCCGCGCCTCTATATAACGCTATATATTATCATAATATTCAGGTAAACTGTATATATTATATTACATAAATCGTAATATGCCTTTGTTCAACCGGAAAACCGTGCACAAAATCAAGGACGACCCGGCAGCGGTGCAGAACAAGCACAACGAACACGACGATCAAGTGAAACAAAACTTGGTGTTCCACTGCCAACAGGCCCAAGGAAGTCCGACGGGACTGGTGTCGAACTTCTCCAACGTCCGCGAACTGTACCAGAGGGTGGCCGACTGCTATGACTTCCCTTCGGACGAAGTAAGCCCGATACAGCCCTACCTCCCCTAGCTATACCCTCCCGCTAGTAAATACTTACGTTCATTATTATTATTGTGTATATAATGTAGGTTTAATTTTTTAATCGTCGGTTGCGGATACTGCATTGTTATTATTTTGATTTTGTCATCTCATTCGCGCACACCGCGTATTCAGCATACCTATTATATAACTATTTGGTTTGGGCTTACACGTATACGCGTACATGTAAATTTTTTTTTAAAAATTGGCGTCTATGAGTTTCCGGACCGGAAGACAGCTATATGCTCTGTACTTCCAGCGCCGTAGTGGAGAGAACAAATACCGTTCCGGTTAAAGGGACACCGAAATCATTGGCCATAACGCGTAATCCCCCAGCCACACGCTACAACTGTAGGTATATACACAAACAATATAATATAGTGAACGCGATTTTCGCCAATTGGAAAACGCTGGGAGATTTAAGAATTTAAAATAGCTTTTCGTCACACTTTTATCACTCGTATGCGTCATCAACAGCAGCGATAAACAGCTATACACACGCCGTCACGCCGACTGGCCGACTGACTTTACTTATGCATATTTTTCACTGCAGCGGACTATAGTCTTTATAGTTTTGTTTCAAATCAACTGTTACGGTGCATTCCATTATTAGCGTATAATAACGTGTAGGTATGTCATCTCTGACTAGTCTAATATAATTTATACCTAATCATTATTCATTCGTAAGTATCGTAAAAATAATATCTACCTATTCAAATTAGTAGATAATATTAAGTAGTATACGAGAGGGTAACGCGCAGTTAAATTTTTACGATTTTCGAAAGACTGAATTTTTATGTTTGATACTTGAACTATTTTTCAAGATAAACAACTTCGCATAACATGACGCTTGCCGAGCAGCTTGTGTTATATTTTATATATAATTTCGAAAACTTGTATGCTTCCCTATTATTATGGTATCGAACGGTATTGCACTTGCGGAGCTTCGAGTTGCGATTTCAATTAAATATATTTGAATACCGACTAGTCAATAATAAACGACATTAAAGTTATGAACTTACCGTACCTAATCGTTATCATTATTATTATTTTTATTTTATATTAACTATTGTTCAGGTTGTATCGAAACCAGCCAATTCGTTTCTAAACAAGTATAATTAATAATTATACTTGTCTAGAAATCGAGTTCTAAAATAATTAACAATGATAGGTTATATTAATATATTCTAAAAGTTGTATGACTGCGTAGTGCGTACCTTATTTGTAAAAGTCAATATAAATCTTCACATTTCTTTCTGTATCTATATACCTACCTGTAACTTTTTTTTTGCTTTGCTGTTTGATCTCTTCGCTATAAACATTCTCTCCTTGTAATGATGCTACTGTCAAACAAGATAAGGTGTTGTTGAATTCTAGGTCGAGTTTGTAGATATTTTCAAGGCGTAGAAAGTTGTAAAAAAATGTATTCTTGTTGAATATATGTTGATTTATGCAGTTTTTATTGCAGTATAAATATAATTGTTTAAACATTACGTAACGGTAACACACTAGCACAAAGCTTGTGATTTTATTAAGGCATAATAAATTAAGAAAAACATTTTAATAAGTACAGTATTTTATTGACTGAAATTTAAATTAATCTATTAATGTAGTATCTAAATATACCTACATTCAATATTCATCGAACTTTAAATTGTTTGTTTTAATTTTAGAAACATGAATATGTGCACTTAATAACAAATGACTAATGATTGGTAGAGCATATTAGTTTTTAAAAATATTATACAAAACATAAATCGTATTTCAGTATACCTACCTAATTTATTACTATATAATGGCCATGGAAATACAGAGTGTATAATATTATGATCATGATTCATGTAATGTAAATTCATGGTTGTATTGATGTGTATAAATATAAAAATAATATACCTACTTATATGTAGAATAAAAATTACATTACATCAATATCAATTACTTATGTTTACGAATTTTGGCAGTTGTATTAAAACGAGACTGAACAACTGTTATGAATTATTTTGTATTACTCAGATAAATCAAACGTAAATATTCAGTTACATACTTATAAGTTATAACAAGATTTTTTTCGAATATTTTTCTTAACAATTCATTAATTGATCTTAGTAATAAATAATTTTGTCAATAATCCGAACGAATATATTTAGCACTTATAGGTTTTTAAGCGAACTATACGTACCTACAACATTAATTTATAGCATACGTACATTATAAGTCTATAACACATATTTTTCATATATGAGAAATTATAAATTAAGCATAAACATAGTATGGTAATACATTTTGTTTATAGGTACCTACCGTAACAATGTGTTTACAATTCGAGTTTGGACTAAGAAGTAAAATAAATAACTGATAAATCGATTAAAATATTGATTATAGTTATTTATATTACCTAGGTGGCAGATTATTGCATGATAAATGATTTATGTAAGTCGTAAGATAAGTCTAGGAGTCTAGCTATGAGGTTCAGCCACAAATGTATATATAACCATAGATAAAAATAAAAAAAATTCAAGTGACAAAACATTATTGTACAATAACAACGTTAAATACTATGTTCGTTCGCTAGACGTTGACCGATGAGACTTAATTGTGAATGTTGGTACGATATATAAAATAAATCAGCAAAATAATTGCACTCCACGTAGTTAATAAATATTAATTGTTGCCTGTTGGATAGCGTTTACGGAATATCATACAATTTTTGTTTGGCTGAATATGGCATACTCTTTTGATAACTCGGAATTAAAATGTTTTCCAAGTCTAAATGTATAGGTTTAATTTATTACGACTTTTAGTATTTTAACACAATTATTATAAGCTTTTCAATATTTTATATTTCCAACATTTTAATTACTTAACGTTACCTAATCATTATAAATTAATATTATTAATAATAATAATTGGGATAAGATCTAATGAGCTAATTTTTATTTTATTTAATAACACTATTTTTACAAATTAATAATTTAATAAAGATTTAGGAACTTAAAAATTAAAATACATAATAAGCAAATGAATAGTAAGTTATGAAAACAAACAATTATAGTGGTTTATAAGATTCGGATTTTCCAATTTATGGTAATCAGTAATCACTAATCAGTAATACTAATAGTCAAAGAGATTGCAGGGTTCTGAATTAAATAATAATAATAAAACGCATTATTCTCTGAATAGGATCATTACATAAATAATTAGAAGCTAATATAGAATTTATATCTATATATAGTTCGCAACTCAATCCTTGGTACATAAAATGTGACATTATATTTAATAGATGATTAGCATCTATCTCATTTTTGACTAAATTGTTAATGAATCTTATGTCCAATACTTTACTTCTAACATATAGGTTTGCCCAATTAAATTTTTCATAAACCGAACTTTGGTAGTCGTGTTTAATTTTTAGAACATAACTAGTAAAAATTAGAAACTGTTTTTGGACATTTTCAAACTGTTGTATGGTTTCTTGAGTATAAGAAGACTATATCATAGACATATGTTCTGACCTATTTTCTATCATCGATCTCACTAATATATAATGCTTGAAGACAAGGGGCTTGAATGCTTGATATAGGTAATAGGTACCGAAAATGCATAATGCTTATGATGTTTAGTAGATATGTTGTACTCGATTAAAAAAATTGTTTGTCATCATTAAATAGTAAACTGTGTTTCAAAGTTCAATTAAAATATCACTGACACCTGGCAACACACCTACATACTCAATAAAAATGAAAAGGTATTTTATAAGACACAAAATAAAAACAAAAATTTTAGTTTCAATTATTAAAACCAACATTTCAAAAAGAGTAGACAAATATTTAAAAATAAAGAATAATAATAATAATAATAATTAATAATGATAAGTTGGCGTATTTAAAAATTATCATCAAAAGTAAGTAACTACCTTTAGTAAACACAATTACCGACTATACCGTTATAATAGCAATGACCTTTCTATTCTGAACTAAAAATGAAAAACCATTTGTTATATAAATATGAATCAAATTTAAAACGATATTATATACATATTTTATAATTTAAAAGGTCACGTCATAGTAAAAAACAAAATAATAAACTTTTATTACAGAATAAATTAAAATTAATATATTACAATATAATAAGACTGCAGTTTAAATAATATGATAGTTAGGCACAACATATAAGTAGTAAAATATAATTTTAACGACGACTTTGTTTAAATATTTCAACTTGGTCTGTTGATAATAAAATCTATTGTATTCTTATTTACTAGACACTTGCTTTAGGTATCTAAGTTAAAAATAATAAAGGCGTGTCACCTTGGACACCAGACCCGAAAACGTTAATAATACCTACCTACATAAAACGAAATATTCATACAAAACGGGTTGAGTTCGTGAATTTGACATTAGTTAAAAAAGAAGACTAAGTTTAACATTCGCAATTATTCGCATGCATATTCCATATGTGTAGAGTTTTAAATTTAATAGATTATAATATTTCACTCTGATGGAGACATTTTCTAAGTCAGGATGGTAAATTAGTTTGGGTTTTATCTTTAAATAGGTATTATATTATGATTTATGACTATTTAAAAATAATTCATTCTAATACATTCGTAATTGTAGACATATGTTCTTGCATACCTACATATAGTACACGTTATTGTAAGTCAATAATTGTCTCTGAAGATTCTGCACAATGGCTATAGGCTGCACTGTTAATTACTCATTGGGTTGTACGACTTAAGTGTTTACCCAAATGTGTTAAATTTAATAAACTAAAATCATATATGATTTATCGTTAACACCCTGAGTTATACATTAAAAAAAAATAAGTATCATAAATACGAGTACCTACCTATACATATATAGGTAGGACGTATAGGACAATAAGTTTACGCAACTATTTCCAAAATATGCAACATTTTCTACGTCGATTAATTTGTTATTACTGTTAGTAACTAGTAAGTACTTAATTATTATTTTTAACATTCAATGTTA